ATATTTATTAATTTTTATAATCAAATTAATCTGATATGTGATATTTTTCCCTCTTTTGCTACTTAAATTTATTGCTTATTTTACTCTATATACACGTTACATTTTCTTTCGTCATTCTTCAGAGTATTAAATAATATATTAAACAGTGTTATTTGTTTAATAAAGAGGTTTAAAATACTTTGTTCCTCAAACGCTAATATTTTTTATATAAATTTAATAAAGATATATGTATATGTAAGTAAAATAAAAAATAATTAAAAATTTTAATTCAATGTTCTAATTATTAAAGTAATACTTTTATCATTGATTATTTTTTAAAATTTTAAAACTAATTTTTGCCATGATATATTATAAACTGCAAAAAGTATTTATTAATTTTTTTTCAATGAATCAAATATATATATATATATAATCACATACACTTGCATATGAAAAAGATGGATGAGAAATAATGGCCTATCAGCAATTGTAATAACTGAGTAAACGAGAGCAGCAAACCTGAATCATGTTTCGCAATGATCGCCACAGTTCGTGAGTTCTCGACTATGCTCGATCGATCGCGTACAGATAGAGACATGTATACATTGGCTTCGTCCTACGTCATTGGGCAAGTATCGTGTTCGCATGTATGTCCATCTCTCTTCTCTTTGCATCGTGCTGCATATACATCGTGTTGCAAAACACATGAAAGACTTTACTCTCATAGGGAGAGAAAATATACTAAGTAAAGAATATTATATATCGATAAAAACCTTCTATCTTTATGTATACTTTTACTGTTACTATTCATATAAAATATTAAAAGAGCGATTTTGTTTATTATTCGACTTTCGTCGCAAAACAGAATACGACGTAGAATATATCTTTGTCTAAATGGTAAACGTCGTCAATATTTAGATTATTTACAAGTTAAATATGTCGTTTCCTCATGTTATGAATAATTTACCAAGGTTAGCTTTAAATTAGTAAGAAATGTAACCTAAACATTTCGGATCACTATGTAGAAAAACGTCAATGTAAATGTGCGCGTGACGGCGTCAACGACGCGCTGGGAGGGTCATACTTTCGAAACAAGGCCACTATAGCCGACCGGTTAACAACGTTATACAAAGCGCAGAGTGTGACTAAGCCGACCGCCTACATGCGTGATGCGATGCTTACAAAACTGCGCATGCGTTTTCTTTTTCTTCGGTCGCTTGCTTCTCTTCTACTTGTCGTTTTCCTTCGTTTCTTTCGGTATTGCAGAGTTGCTGTTACTTCGTGTATGATTGAAAAGATAGATAGAGACCGGCAACGGTCCTCGCTCTATCAAAGTCGTCACGGAAAAGTACTGGTCACACATCTTCTCGATGGTAGACCACGCTTTAGTCGAGACCTCAGTGATTTGTATAGTTGGTTATTTGTGGTGGGGACAGATACGTGCGGATGCTGCGTTGCATTGAAATACATAAGCTTGTCATGGATAGACTCGACAAAGATATCGCGTGTCACGGTCCTTCATAGAACGTGACGAAACGATGCTTCTTTCTTAATATCGATTCATTTATCTGTTCATGCCAGTGGCATGCGTTTCTTCGTATGTAAATTTGAAAACATAAATATTGCGCCGAGAAAAATAATGAGATATGCGATCATTGAAAAAGAACATATTATAAATTTCATTGTATGTGGTATATAACTGATAACATGAAATAATGTAGAGTATTGTCATGATTTATAAATCTGCTTGTGGAAGTTTACCATTCTTAAATATGAATATTCAATTATTAAATAAAGAATTTATTTTATATCTTTTATTCTATTTTGATGAATCATTTATGGAAAATCAATATTATTTGCATACAAAAATTATTAATGTTATTTTCATAAACTTTTTAATCTGACAAATAAAAAAAATTATTTATTAATTTTATTATTTTTTATTATTCATTTTATTAACTTTAATGAAGTAGTAAATAGAAATATTATTAAATGAAGTAAATATGATAGAATGTTCCTCTCATTTATTGACATTTCTTAATCTTTCAAGTACGGATTCCGTATATTGTATAAATCTTAAATATAGAAGTCGATAGTGTTTGAAAAAATTCCAATACATATATGGAATTTATCTTTTGAGCTAATTTTGAAATTTTAATTTCAATTAAAAATTAGTTTCCACCAATTTTCGGGCTAAAAAATATTCAATATTTTTCTTATTTGAAACATTAATGTTGCATTTGTATTGTATTAATGAATAAATTTAAAAAAATTAGCAATGTAAAATATAACATTTTATTATTATATGATGCTTCATAACATTTTTTATTTATAAACATTATAATCAATTCCAATATTTCATTAAAATTTCAAATTATTGTATATTTTTTATATACAATATTATTAATTGCAATTAAATTATGATTGAAATTAAAATATTATAAATTATAATATTATTATATATTATTATAAATTTCATGAAAATTAAAAATTTTTTGTATTATCTTTAATTAATATATCGAAAATTCGAAGACCAGCCACTATATATATATTACGATATCGTGAGTATATCATACAATCGAATCTATAAAATAGATAAATGTTACGAGTAACACGTGCGTCGCATATTAATGATTTTATCGTCGAAAACCTGACCTGAGATAATATATAAATAATTCCTAAACAATATCAAAATATGTAACTTCGCAATTCTTCTGTATATTATACCTAACATTGAGATATTCAATATTCGTGGTCGTGCATTCAACAAATAACTCAAAAACTTGAAACGTGAAACTTCGACACAACTGGCGATACAGATGGCACATCTTGTATGTCTCGTTCGGTTAGCGATCTCTTGCAGAATATCAATTTTATAGTAACGTTCAACTTAATCTAACATTAAGCTGAAAATCAAACAAACTCCAAGAAACAAATATATTCGTCTTTATATTTATCTTTTTAGCATTCATCATAGGTTACGTTGTAATATATAAGAATGAACAAATATAGTTTGTATGGTTACTGCGTTACAATGTAATGTTACGATAAATTTTAAAAACATAAACGTTACGTCGGCTTTTTGATTATTTTTTGGGTTTAACTAGAAATAGTTGTCTCTATTCAATTCTAGATAGTTGGAAATTAATTGAATTAATTGTATCATTATTGTTTATGTATTTATAAGGAAACGAGGTTTGTCTATGAATGAATGAATGACAAAAGTACAAAAGTTCATTGCAATTAGCATAATCGTATGATGTCATGAAGAGAGGAAAGGATATCTATTTCTGTCTTCCAATGAATCATTCAAGTTCTTTTTGTTCCTGTGATATTTATTGATTATTTCGAGTAATATTGAATTTTTGACAATTGGAAGTCAGTTGGTCACGTTAATGATGTATAATAAAAACAAAAATATTATAATAACGATGCGATAAAAATTGTTCGAATTTCAGGAGCATATGTTGGTCCATCTATTCCATTAGCTCCAGCAAATGTAGCGGCAAATGGTGGAGGGTCTCCTCTTCGTCCACGAACTAGCCCTCCACCACCGCCACCACCAACACAAGAAACCACTAATGATAATCCACAGACGAATCATCATCAGGTAATCGAATTAAAATATTAATGAATACATCTATAATGATAATAATCAAAAATTCATTAAATATATATTTAAATATATATTTAAGTATATATTTGGATCTTGGCAATAGATTTTAGGTTTTTTGGATTATTTAATTTTATTTAATTTATTTATTTATTTTTATAATATTAAATTTTAATAAATGTTATCTTTATAATATAAAATACAGGGCATTGAGATGTGGTATTCTAAAATTAAATAATTGATATTGATTATAAAGATCCAATATTTATAATTATATTATAAATTTATTATATATCATAAATTTATTATAGATTATATATAATATAGTTTAATAAATTTTTATTTGAAATGAAAATTAAAAATAATTTTATAGGGTACAACAAACGGCCCATCTCCAATGGCCGCGCTCATGTCTGTTGCTGATAATTTAGCATCACCAGAATCAGTGCCACAACCACCAAATAATCCAAGTCCAACTAGCAGAAGCCCACCGACTACGGCTACGAACGCTCAACAACGTAGTGCCTCCAGAGGGTCGCAGCATAGCCCGAATAGTTCAGGTAAATGTCTTTTTTTTTATTTATTTCTTTCTTTTTTTATAACTCTCAATTAGTACTGTTAAGTCGTAAGTAAAGGATCATTGATTATTCTATTTTTATTAAGTTTATTTTTGTTTATATAATATAATATATTTTTGTTTATATAATAATTATATAATATAAAATGAATATCCTAACTTAAATTTAATTCAAAATATTGTGTAATATTTATGATTCAACAAAATCAAATTATTAAATTAAGTTATTATTGCATATGAAATGATTAGAAAAATATTAAATTAAATCATATGTATATTAATTATTTATAGCATCGTCGGGTAGGAGGTCCAGTGGTTCAAGACACGTATCGTCAACGACTGTAACAACATCATCAGAGGGAGCAGTTGCTCAAGTTGCTGGAGCTGAACAAGTTTCAGCACCAATATTAAAATGCACTTTGTGTCAAGAACGTCTCGAGGACACACATTTCGTTCAGTGTCCCAGCGTACCACATCATAAATTCTGTTTCCCATGCAGCCGAGAGAGCATAAAGAGACAGGGTGCTGGATCAGAGGTGAATTTTCGTTTATCTGAGATGAACGATTACATTATTTAATGTAATAATATTTTTTGTTAATTTTAATTTTTTCAGGTTTATTGCCCAAGTGGCGAAAAGTGTCCACTGGCGAACAGCCAAGTGCCATGGGCGTTTATGCAAGGCGAAATAGCCACTATCTTGGGCGACGATACCACCGGTTCTGGGCTTAAAGTAAAGAAAGAAAGAGAAACTTAAAGATTCTCATACTGTTTTAAAACGGGGCTCAAATTTTGCACCCTCTTTGACGAGGGTTAATTATGGTGGAACCGTGAAGGTTTAACCAAAAAAATACTTTTGGTAAAGGTGATAAATGTTGGCGGCGATATTGCCAACATTATTCGATTCGAGCCAAAGACGTTGTCGGTGCAAATTGGAATTAATAACGAAGTTGTTGATGTTGTTGTCGGGGAAAGTGGACGATTTTTTTCAGCGATTTGTTTCGCTGAATGTTCTTTTCACCGAGACAACAGACTGTTTCGATCGATCAATCGTTCGTTCGATCAATTGTTTTTGACTGGTTTTGAGAAGAAGTCTTTGGCATACTTTTTGACATACTGGCGTCGGTTCTGCATACGTGTATATATGGGATTATCATAGGACGGTTAATGCGCGAAGAAGTCAAAAAAAAAAAAAAAAAAAATACGTGGTTTCTATCGAATATATACAAATTAACGTAAGAAATCACGGGAGAGATTTTGTGTCCGGTTTGGGTTTGTACTTAGGCTCAATCGCCTTTCTTTATTGTTTCTTGTGTCGCGACATTTTCGCGTTTTTTGAAGTACAACAACACACAATAATACATACAACAGGACATACACTGTACACATAATAACACATGTATACACATACAAGCATGATTTGTTGCGTACACATACACAAATTACTAAATATACATATATACATACACATATACATAAAATACATAACATGATACTATTAAAATTAGGCGGTTATATTGTACTTTATTTTTATTCACGCTATACCGTGATCGCGGATTAACCGGAGTCGGAAGTCGTGCTTCGGTGTTCTAAAATCCGTCGAGAAAATTTTTGACGGATGTCCTTTTCTAATCTTTCATTTGTATACTCTTTCTACTATTACCACACACTCGTTGTATGATAGAAACATAAAAACATGGCGGACATATTTAGACCCAGCGTATGGGTTTTCTGTACATTGTGTATATGTGTACATACCACATTATTAATAAAACTTATGGACTAAAGAGGAATAACCATTTTTAAATGTACAAAAGAAAAATTTACATTCATTTTGCGTGTTATTCTTATTAAATTATTTTTCTTTTTTTTCTTCTTTCTTCTCGAATTATTATAAAATAAACGAAAAAAATCGTATATTTAAAAATATTTTACAAAATATTTGAGCGAATTTTGTTTTTGTTTTTTCTTTTCGTTCTTTCTCGTTTGCGAAAAATTACGAAATCTCTTTTAATATTTGTCTGGTATCTAAAAAAAAAAAAAAAAAAAAAAAAAAAATACGAGAGAGAAAGAAGGATTTGGAAAAGGAGGGGTGGGTATCGTTCTTATCCAGTCATTCATAATAAAAAAAAAAAAATCGGTATCCGATTATGTAACGTCCACTTTCGCCTTTAGTTATTTGCTAGACTTTAAGTGAGAGGGCCTTTTGGTTTTTCATTTTGCTGATGAAAAAGATGACGCCCGTCAAATAGGAACCATACACTCGCTATTGTCTCTAAAAACGTAAAAGAAAAAAAAAAAGGATAAAAAAATGATGAAATAAAAAGTGAAACAAAGCGGAAAAAAGGGGAATGAAAAGAAACGAAATGAGAAACCGAAAAAAAACGTAAGCAAGCATATATATATATCTTGGTATCTATCTGGTGTCCGAGAATTTTTATCATGAGTTTTGTCTGCTCCGAATAAGAGCATTTTTCGGACACGAGCATGACTCCTTTTTGTATATATTTGTACAAAATGGATATTGGCACAATAGACGAAGAACAGAGTGACGAAATCGCGCGAGATCGAAAATTGCAAAACGATCACGCGTTGCGTGGCTCAAGTTCTAATCAAAGACGCTTCGTACTATCGTTAGACTCTGATTTCCGGTGGAACTTGACAAACTCATCGTTTCTGTTGGTCAACGGCGCTCTTTTTTCGAATCACATGTTGCTTCGATATTCATTCGAGAATTCATCGAAGCAGCCTGTGTGTAGAGGCTATCTGCGTTAGCATAAGCAAACTTATTGTAACGAAGTAGGAGTGCAAAATTGATAAAAATGAGTGAGAGAATGAGTGATGAGATATGGTGCGAAAGAGATATTAATCCTTTCGTGACTGTGCCCTTAGTGTTGAGAGTGTTCTTTTTTTTTTTTATATATATATATATATATATTTTATTATATATATAT